AATTACAACGAAATTTTATCGTAGGTGATTGTATCATAATGCTAAATACAACGGAGTTCTAGTACGTCTTTTTGGTCGACACATTCTGGTAATACACATCCCTCAAACCGAAAGTGGCCACGCTTCTCTACACATCACAACTCCACTCAAAAGCTTGGACGAGAGACTCCCCCCTGGCAAGAGCCCATACTATTAGACCTCAAGGCCACAGCCTATATGAAATAGAACAGACGCCTCTGATACCCACAGCCAGTACTGTACACACACACGCAAGTAGTAAACGTACCCCTGGCCTCATTCAAAGAGCAGCTTATACCAGGAGCAACTGCACAACGCACACTATCCACGCCGTCCCACACACACACACATTTACAATATATATATCTTCATGTCGCTTGTAGACACACTCTCGACAGCGGAATTGAATCTCAGAGCCTTTTGCATACACACACTCGACAGCAGAACTAAACCGTAGAGCTCTTCACCCGACATCAATCATTGTGCCCATTACGAGCACACACATACCAACAACACCCATATCCACACAAACTCAGATGCATTGAGAAGGTTTTCCTGTCCACAGCCACACACACCAACAACACCCATATCCACACAAACTCAGATGCATTGGCAAGGATATCCTCTCCACAGCCACACGCACCAACAACAACCATATCCACACAAACTCAGATGCACTGGCAAGGATATCCTCTCCACAGCCACACGCAGACTGGTACACACACACGCGCAGGTGGTACAGGTACCTCGGAAAGCATCTTCTTGGCGTCCTTCATCTTGTTGAGCTCGCGCTGTTTGCTGTCCAGCTTCTCCTGCAAGTTCTTCTGCTCGTTCATGCCCTGTGGTGGTGGTGAGCGGTGGCATAGACTGCACTTTAGTTGATCATATAGTCAGTGTATACTTACATCTGACACAGATGAAATGTAGATGGCATAGACTGCACTTTAGTCGATCATATAGTCAGTGTATACCTATATCTGACATAGATGAGATGTAGATGTAGAGGTGCTCCATCAAGCAGAGTGGTGTGAGGTATATCACACCCACACCACAGGCAGCCCGCCAGCAACAGCATACAACAGTCGCCTATGTCCATGCCAAGCACGGGTTCAGTATCATGTGATGCGTGTGGGAACGAAACTGCCATAGATACACGCGCACACACACCGGGGCAATGACATCACCAACAATGGACTTCACTATCGATTCCTGGTACCAACATATACACGCCGGTAGTAAGAGTGATATACAGGCAGTAATATATACTAGCCAATGACATTGATATATACTAGTCAATGACACTGATATATACTAGTCAATGACACTGTTATATACTAGTCAATGACACTGATATATACTAGCCAATGACACTGATATATACTAGCCAATGACACTGTTATGTACTAGCCAATGACACTGATATATACTAGTCAATGACACTGTTATATACTAGTCAATGACACTGATATATACTAGTCAATGACACTGTTATATACTAGTCAATGACACTGTTATATACTAGCCAATGACACTGATATATACTAGCCAATGACACTGTTATATACTAGCCAATGACACTGATATATACTAGTCAATGACACTGATATATACTACACTACACTGCCTGATCAATGGAATATGAATCAGCTGACGATGGACACTCTAGTCTAGAAACACGTAGTGATCTGTCGCTACTGCCCGGATAAGCATAAGATATAACATGAACAACTGTCAACATGCGCAATCACACACACACCATCGGCGGAAGCAAGGTCAATAGACTGGTCAGGTTGGTACTGATAGTGTTACTTAACCACTAGCAGTCTCTACTACTCCCCGACAACTGATTGCTACATACAGTGGGTCGGTCTTAGCCACATATACGCACGGAAGTTCAAGCCATGTCCTATACAACACACGCAGTCCTCATATTAAACCACACCTTGTCAATAATGCGGATCATCTCCTCCATCTCCTGCTTGTACTTCTTGGTCTGCTCTACCAGATAGCGTTCCTTTTGCTGCAGGTAGATTGTTACAAAGTGCGTGGGTGCGTGGGTTGGGAGCTTGGTACCAGAGAATAGCTATGCAGTGCTGTAAGAGTCCGTACAGGTGGACGTATCAGAGTTGAGTTCAGCATGTCTCCTTAACATATACGCAGTTCAAGTCTACAGGGTAGAATACACACTTTGCAGTGTGGGTTGAGAGAGGGTTAAGCTGTATATTGTTCCTAGGACAGTCTAAATAACTAATAGCATGGTATATATATATATATATATATATATATATATATATATATATATAGGTTCACATCGAATACATACTTTAGCTCGGTGTAATCGAAGTAAAGCCACACACACAATAATATACATATGCGTATATACATATACATATCAGAACCTCTTATTTGCCATCAAAAACAAAGACATGCTATGGCTGTGATACCTTGTCCGGCACACAGCTCAACTCAGACACGAACACTCACATGAGGGTATATGCACACAGAAAAATACACACCCGCATATCTAGATACATATATCAGAAGCTCATATATACCGACACAAGCAAACGTATGTGAGGAGTGATCTGAATGACTTACCTTGTCCGATACTGACCATAACTCAGACACAGACACTCACATGAGGGTATCAACACACACACATAAAAAGAATACATACCGGCACATCTAGATACATATATATATATATATATACATACAAATATACATATACATATACATACACACACACATATATATATATATATATATATATATATATACATACATATATATATATACATATATATATATACCGTCACAAGCAAACGTACGTGATGAGTGACTTGTGTGACCTACCTTGTCCGGCATTGACCCCAACTCAGACGTTGTCTTCTTGGCGCCATAGTGCGCAGTACTTGCGGTACTGGCCGCAGCCGTGGCACGCCTTGGCGTAGCACTGTTGATGTGGTGGGGTTGTTCGTAGCCATTCACACGCTCTTCATGTCCTGCCATCGCCGCTACATAAGTGTGTGTTTGTATACATGGAGAGATGCAATGGGTGTAAGTAATCGCGAACGTGATTAGATACATATGCGTGTGTCTGTGCCGTCTGACGTTGTGTGGCTTTGTATATGTGTGTATGTGGTTGGGGTATGACTGGATGACCCCCTGTTGATCTGCGCGTGGCAATACACAGGTTGTATATATACGTGAACAGATGCATGCATATGCATGTAAGTTAGCGAATGTATCGCATGTTAGCGAAGTTTCATATATATGCATGGGTGTGTATCGTCCCATATGGCTATACGAGCAAGCGTATACTACCAGTACAGCCGATATCCAGCCGCTCTAAATGTTCCGTAAGTAAGCCAATATCTTAAAAGTACAACTGTCCGCGGTTAAAGCAGCCCACGTTGGTGCTCCTATGTCATATCCTCTCTTCCCAACTGCCCCCAGGCCTCCCACTAACCGTGCTAGTGGGATACAGTACCGATCCATCAACGACGAGTGTGTGGTGTATCTACTATACAAGTATAACTAGTATAATATGTATACACGTGTACAAGTATTCAAGTATACGCGTATGTATAACTAAATATACGCGTATGAGGCGAACGTCTTACCACTTAATGCCTGTGAATACCTCCTTATTCGTCGGTGAAGCATAAGATACAAATGCACCGAGAAAGTAACGATACACAGGCGAAGTAAGCCTCGCCAGCTCAGGGGAGAGTAACGGAACACAAGAACACGTTAACGGACAGATACGTATACATGATATAAGCACATCACACAAGAACACGTTAACGGACAGATACGTATACATAACATAAGCACATCACGCAAGAAAACGTTAATGGACAGATACGTATACATAATATAAGCACATCACATAAGAACACGTTAACGGACAGGTACGTACACATAACATAAGCACATCACACAAGAACACGATAACGGACAGATACGTATACATAACATAGGCACATCACACAAGAACACGTTAACGGACAGATACGTACACATAACATAAGCACATCACACAAGAACACGTTAACGGACAGATACGTATACATGACATAGGCACATCACACAAGAACACGTTAACAGACATATACGTATACATAACATAAGCACATCACACAAGAACACGTTAACGGACAGATACGTATACATGACATAGGCACATCACACAAGAACACGTTAACGGACAGATACGTATACCTAACATAAGCACATCACACAAGAACACGTTAACGGACAGATACGTACACATAATATAAGCACACCACACAAGAACACGCTAACGGACAGATACGTATACATAACATAAGCACATCTTACCAGCCTCCTCCTGTGAGTACAGCGGTACACGACAGGTACCCTGCTGAGTCTGCAACAATACATCTGCTTGAAGGGGAAGCGAACGTAAAAGTGTCAGTAGGTCGTTGTGAGTGCTTTTTGGGCGTGCGCACACACTATGTACGACTATATTCAGTCAAAATACACCCAATACGTTTGCAAGGCATTAGTAGGCATCTACGCCCATTGACCGTACCCATACAACGAATAGGCCAGCTGCTATATACGAATAAACGTAATACAAGTTCCATCAGTAGGTCTATTGGAAGCACGTGTACACTCAGTATGATAAAACTGTAAGTACGGGTACAGCCACTGCGCACATGCTGGAGACATCTGCACCCCATGCCTCTACTAAGCAGGTTCAAATAACCTTGTACGCATGCGTGCAATACTGCTCCATATGGCATGTCTGGGCGTACTATGGGATACACGCAATGTATGTGCTTGGTATACGCGCGATCGACTACATACTCATGTTACAAATAATACTTATAACACGTGCTTTTATATGGCATGTAGATATGAACAAGTTCACACAACAGGGTATGTACCTGATGCACCTGTGCGTGCAGGTATACGTATACTGAAAACAATAAATATAACATGTGCTTTATATGGCATGTAGATATGAGCATGTTCACACAACAACGTATGTACCTGATGTGCCTATGCGTGCAGGTACACGTCTACTGAAATCAATAAATATAACATGTGCTTTTATATGCCATGTAGATATGAGCATGTTCACACAACAGGGTATGTACCTGATGTGCCTGTGCGTGTAGGTATACCCGAGTAGGTAGCGGGCTGAGTCCGCACATTCGTAGGCGCACGCTCACCCAGTGCATCTGCGGCGAAAACAACCGATCGAAACCGTAATACAGGTCAGAAAAAGAGCGTAAGGTCAAGTCCCGATATAGTGTGTAAGAAATGGTATAGAGGTAATGAAAGGTTGAGTATAAACACGTGATCTACTGTGTGAGTATTGTATTGGAGTGGCAGTTGGTAGCAAGTAACGTAAATGTACTGTGAAGATATGGTATACATAGAGATAATCACAGGGCGAGTATAAACGACCGATACATTGTGTGAGTGATGGAATGGAGGTACTTAACGGATGAGTATAGAGAATCCACTCCGTGCAAGAAATATAATAAAGGCAGGCAAAGGGTGTGTTAACTTTAGTGATATAAAGCCAACCGTGAATGCAGAGACAACCTCGTCAGTACATACTTTTGTGTATATGTATATGTATATATATATATGATATTTGCGCGTGTGACAGAATGGAGCTGAAGGGTATAGTGTCTTGTACAGTTGACTGATAGTGCATTGTGGAAAGGTTGGGTTGTGGAGTGTGTACTGTTCCGGATAACTCTTACCCCAGTGTCAGAGATTCAGACACAGATACTGACACCTGAAGGACAATATATTTTACGTACACTCGCCAAAGAAAAGTATGTACCAAACAAGCTTTAAGGATCAGGCTGAAAGCGTGCTTGATGTATTTCTCTCATAACCTCAAACAAACTACTTGCAATTCTCGATTCCGCCGATGGCATGACGCAACGTGACTGAGAATGAGTGAGAATACAGGTTCGTAGAATACAGCCTACGGTTCAATAACGTGACTGAGAATGAGTGAGAATACAGGTTCGTCGAATACAGCCCACGGGTCAATTGTATTCATGTGGGCGTTGAAGGGGCAAGTGCTGTTTTATACCGTGCACTTACAGAGGTTTCGCACAAGTCTACTATAAGATTGCAAGAGAGCACTTACAGAGGTTTAGCACAAGTTTACTATAAGATTGCAAGAGAGCACTTCTATGAAGGGCTGTGAAAGGTTGCATATAAGTGCGTGCACCGGGAGGGCAAGAACGGATCTTCACCCACTGTATATGCATTTGTATGTATGTATGTAAGTATGTATGTATGTATGTATGTATGTATGTATGTATGTATGTATGTAGGTATGTATGCATGAATGTATGTATGTATGTATGTATGCACGTATGGATGTATGTATGTATGTACTCTAGACTTGCAAATGATACTCGAGAGCTGTGAACTGTTGATCATCGGAACATACCAGATGAAAGAAAGAGAACTTAGGATGCAGTGTTAATGTTGCAGATGCCTATTAACATCCGAAATAGATACTGTGTGCTTAATCATTCGAATATATCACACAGTGACGAATTCTGCTGAGAATAGTAGATACTTACTTTGGTAAGGTTGATTCATATCAACAGTTGAGATGGATAATATCCAGGCAGAGATTACGGTCTGTATCACGCTTAAACTATCGCATACAGCAAGTGACGTGATAGTGACAACATAGACTACCCGGAATAAACACAGGTTGAGATCTGTCCGAGCGGATATACACAGCCGTAGATCCGCCCATATATATATATATAATCAAATAGATCATTGGTTCGAATAGGCATTGAAATAGCGTATACATACAAGTACAATAAATGAAGGCTAGTCAAGGAATGTACTGTTACCAAACAAAACGATTACCACAAACAAAATAAAGGGTATGCTGGGTCCTACGAGACATAGTTATCATCAGACAAGGCGAATTTTAAACCACGTACAGGAGTGTAAAAAGTGATACATGCACACATTCCGAAAAGAAGCCCTTGTTGTCTCCCGAAAGGCTTCTTGGTAACGCCACACAGACACTGCAATTGAATTGCACGTACACACGTATATATATATATATATATAGCAGAGATCGCTATGTCGATAAGTCAAAGCACTCACAATCTTACGTCGACCGACGAATGCGTGCCACATTGACATGGTCTCGCATACAAACATAGCTATTGGATCGGAATAATCGTTTTATCGAATCTACGGTGTGACGATATTCTCAGACGAGTTTATATTTCCACGTGGATTGAAGTTTCTGGTATTGTTTTGTATACAATACTGAAATATACTTATCGATGAAATTATCTGAATAAAGCTGTTCTCATATCCGTATAGTATCCAATATATTAAACCTTTTCATATAAATTAATGTCGTAAATAATACTGACTTGCTTATCGACCAAAATTGCGGTATGTAGATATCCATATACATCCTACGTATTAATATTGTATACTAACCGACATATATAATGATCAAGTGTATGATACGAAGATGTCATTATATTTGTATACTAATACATAGAACCTTTTTGATACACATTAATGTTGTATACAATAGTGACTAACCGATTGAGCCGACCTAGGTATAAAGATATTATACAAACTAATTGATTACATAACTTTCAATTCGATAAATATTTCCAATACATATCAATATCGTATTGACAGAACTAACTTACTTATAACGCGATTCTTGATGATGCTTGAATCCACATCTTTCGGACGCGTGTAGGTGCGTATGCGGGTGGGAGTCGCGTTCTCCTCCTGGTGTTGGAATGCTGGATAGCGTGACATTGCTCTCGAGCTGAATCTATGTATGTGCGCAGCGTATTCTCACCCATGAGCTCTCAACGTTCAATCTATATGTATGACTGTATATGCATGGGTGTATATGTGTATTATATACTGTTGACCAGTGAGTTGAATGGTCGTTGTAAGGTATGCCTCTAATGTAATATATAAATAGCACTCATTGATTGAGCGAGTGGCAGAGGCAAATGATATATTTTTATAACCTCATGTAAATAATAGACACTAGCAGTCACGGAATTCCGTTGCAAAAAGTTGTGCCTTCCCGCCAAAATCTTTCAATCAGACTGCATCTGTTGTACCCGAGTCAGGGTTGTTGGCTTTTTTAAAAGCGTTGAAAATACGTTAAAAAATCAAACGCTGTATATACATACATACTTCAAAAAAGAACGTATTTGACGGGTTTGGCTTTCAAATACGTTTTTATAAATCCGTTAAAAATCAAATACTGTAATGTACAAAAATTAACGTATAAACGGTTTGCGTTGCTCAGGTATGCATTTAAAAAAAATATAGAGGTGCGATATTTTAAAAGCAATCAGAATATAAAACAACCATACTCTTGAAAAATCCGGTTTCCATTTTGGTTCAGATGATGCGGATACTGTTATTCCGTTCACGCGCTCTATGCCCCTATGTAGTTCTTTAAAATAGTGGGAGAGGGGGGTTTGTTCTCGTGCCTAACAAAACATTTAAGGAGATACAAAGCTGCAGAATTTAGGATGCACGAGCTACATCTAGAAGTATCTGATAGGTTATTATACAATAATTCTTAGTTTACTATGAGAGCACTTATAATTTATAGGATATAATGCACTCTTTGCACATTTATATACCAAGGTTCTACTTGTTGGAGTTCGATTTTTATGACTATCATAACCAACCGACATTTGGTGTTAAAAAAACGTACGTCGGTGACTCTCTTATATTTTTTTCTGAAGATAATGTATATATAAAAGGCTCTTTCCATCCCATACTATTGCAACCACTGAACCCGGTTGGTAGCTTGAGAATATATGTGATATATTAAGAACGCTTTCCCCATTGTTTCTTTAAAATATGTATTTGTTACTGTCGTTTTTTCGCACCTGTAATGGAATCCAAAAATGGGTTGCTTTCGCTTTTGGCATATAATCAGGAAAGTATATATGAATTTGTGCGTTTTAGTTCACAGTGCAGGAATATATATGTTTTGATAATAGTTTAGGGAGTTGATGTTTTAGTCTAAACCTGCAGATGTTGCTGAATCATTTTAGTCGACCTATCAAACTCCAACAATACGGCAAAAGCCACAGAAACCAAAGCTGTCAACCGGTGATATCATCAGAATCAATACATATACAGCTGGGACAGAGTGGTGTATTGTAATACTAGCATTTCGTATGATCAGCATTCAAAGGATAACCGCAGTTTCTACATTTGATTAAACAACCCTTATATAAATACCATATGCTATTTTAAAATCATCCAGTTGGGCATCTCTGTGAGAAACGTAATGGGGCCCGTGCCTGAGTTATTTCAACTCGCACACGTTCGCCTTTGACATATTGCGCAGGTGTCAACAAAGTTTAACGCATCGAGCATATGCTCATTCTCGATATTTATTGTATTCTGAACAAAGTCGTGTATTCTAAATGACACATTTACCGATCCAAGGTTTAGCGGCACAACGGCGGTTAGATGTTCACTTATCTTTCGGGATTGCTATTAAACCCAGTAACGCGTTCTATTGAATAGCAGAGATGCATCGTATTTACAGTAAGAAATATATTAACCCAACGTCGCTGGATACAATGTGTCGTGTATCTGTTGAATCCCGAGCTCTTATTTCAAAAAGGGTAGTTATAACATAACGGATTGCGGCTCGTCATATCAGACCTCTATACTAGGTGACAGTACTTCTTTCGCGTTTGTTTAGTGCCACGCCTTGTGAATCTCACAACCACCTATCGAGGGCAATGGAGATAGTGCGACGTAAACACACTGTATGTACATACATTGTACTCGTAGCGCAACATTGACGCGAATTCCCCTCAAAACCGCCTATGTAACTTATTGACGAAGTGTTCAAATGCAATATTTATAGTGATGAAGATTGATGCGTTTTATTCACTGTCGTGTAGTGTACTTGCACTATCGCGTGCACATGCAGAATAAGTTAAGAATTTAGATACTGTCGAGGCTCAGCGCTCCACTGACACAAGTGAATACACACTATAACAAGACAACACCACCCACTGAATAAAAGACACAAGGAACACACACTATAACAAGACAACACCACCCTTGCCCAATCTTTCTTCTCCAGATATAATTCAAAGTAAGGCTATACACAAATCACCGGCTACGTGTATGATTGTTCGATTCTCAGCTCCAGTCATTGCTACCGACTATAAAGTCACTCCCCCCAGTACATACTTCGTAGAAACAGTCTGTTTTAAATTTTCAAAAATCTTTATTCATTTGAAGGCCGAATCATAAAAAGAAACGCACGCATACATCCATACAGCCACAAATTTATAACATACATATTTAGCTGACGAGCGAGCATCGACAACAACGATATCCAGCAATCAGCATCCACACCAAATATGTATATGTTTGATCGTCATGCATTTTTGAATGACCCGTGCCTAATTGTTAGATATGTGTTGACAGCTGGCCAGCATAATAAACTGACACAGAATGATGAAATCTTAAAATCTCATTGCACAATAATAAAATATCTTTGACTCTCACCGCCGTTTTTATATTTATCACAAAAGAGCAAAGTGTGCAGAAAAAGCCAAAGCTCTTTGCAGTTTGCTGTTTGTGGGCGTCTGACCGCCTGTAGCCAAACAAGTAAGATGGAATATGATATTGTCGCATAAATATTAATATAAATGGACATAGATAGAGTCAAGTCTTGTTTTCTTCCAAACACATGACCTCAACAGGCTCGACCTGTAAATAAATACTTGCTAACAGTATGACGAAAGAACAAGCATACGCAGCTCAGCATGATTCCGTGCGGCAGGGCTTCACGAAGAAACGCATAGAAGATTTCGTGAATGGGGGCCCGGTGGACGCTATAGTGATCGGTAGCGGACTGGGTGGCCTAACCACGGCTGCCATGTTGTCACGTGCAGGCTGGCGCGTGCTTGTTTTGGTATGTAGATTTTAGACTTCCCAAGACCATATAGTAGTGTGTATGTCAGACACTAGTGTGTGTTTCAACGCAAGTTTGATTGATATGGGCATAGTAACTTACAGTTTGATATACTATTTGTAAATATAAAATTAAATTTGTATTCGTGTAATTTTTACACACACACA